TATATATATATATAATATAGAGAGAGAGTTCAACATTGTATAAAATTCCATTTTCTTAATTAGTTTGTCCTTTTCTTTTCAAAACCAAAAGACACATTGATGTTGGACTTAATTGAGATTCCTTATCACAGTTATACGTACTGCAAAGTGCAAACTGAATTTCAAAAGCAAGCTCTATAGGTGAGAGTGTGAATGTGAATTACAGCAGAATTAACTTATTTAGTCGCCATTCATAATTAACAAGGTCAATGACAAAAGCGTAATTTGTGTTTAATCAAGATACAAGAATTTACGAAGTCAATTGAGGTTTAATTCAGTTTGTGTTTAGTATATTTGTAGTACTTGTTTTTAATGTATCGAGTTTTGCGTTTAACAGTTTAAGTTCCATGGGATATTAAAAAATATATATATATTTGTCTAATTGAAATGGTGTTTTTTATTTTGATGAGCTCATTCAATATGAACAAAAGTCAAAACTTTTTTCTGAAGTAATTGAACTTGATTATTTTTCAGCCACTGAAAAATTGAGAATCAAAAGTACCACTTTTGACTTTTTTTTTTCTTTTTCTATTTGGAAATCGTCATTTCCTCTATAAAGGGTTAAGGGTGATCGTAATATTGTACACTTTCGAGCAGCTAATTATGTGATAAGAAAAACCACGTGAAAATAAAGAACTTTGTATTAAAATATTTTAGAGAGAACATAATCTCATGATATTTAGAAACACCAGGTATATTTATACCTATGGATTGTAAGTAATAGAGATTTTTATTACGCACAGCCCTTTAGCAATATGATCATTTAGAATTTGGAGTTTGACTGGCATCTTAGAGCATGTTTAGTGCACCGTATTGTATTGTATTGTATTATATTTATTATATCGTATAATATTGTATTACATTGTATAATTTTTAGACAATACGTGTTTGATTGGTGATATTATTAAACATTATATTGTTTTTACTATTGTAATCTATTTACATATTAGTTTGTAATAAGATAAAATTTAAGTCTAATCATAACCTAATTCAACTATAATCTCGACCGGAACCTAACATTTGGAGGAAATAAGGGAAAAAGTAGAGTTGCTACATAGGGTCTTTTTGAAAAATGGGGTCAAATTGTAATTTTCAAAAAATTAGGGGGCAAAAATATAATTTTGAAAAAGTTGAGGGGTCAAAACATAATTTTAAAAAGTATAGGAGTCAAAATATATTTTTTAAAAATTTAGGGATCAAAATGTAATTTTTAAAATATAAACTCCGGTCCTAAAACTTGACCCTAACGTTGGTCCTAAAATCCAACCCTGAGCATTGATATTTGTGAAATATTTTATATATTTTTAATATAGTATTTTAAGTTAAATTGCATGATACGGTCTAGTGCATAGGTTTTTACTGTTGTAATATATTTACGTATTAGTTTGTAATAAGATAAAATTTAAGCCTAATCATAACCTAATTCAACTATAATCTCGACCCGAACCTAACATTTGGAGGAAATAAGGGAGAAAGTAGAGTTGCTACATAGGGTCTTTTTGCAAACAAAAAAATGAAAAATGGGGTCAAATTGTAATTTTCAAAAAATTAGGGGACAAAAATATTATTTTAAAAAAATTGAGGGGTCAAAACATAATTTTAAAAAGTATAGGAGTCAAAATATATTTTTTTAAAATTTAGGGATCAAAATGTAATTTTTAAAATATAAACTCCGGTCCTAAAACTTGACCCTAACGTCGGTCCTAAAATCCAACCCTGAGCATTGATATTTGTGAAATATTTTATATAATTTTAATATAGTATTTTAAGTTAAATTGCATGATACGGTCTAGTGCATAAGTTTTTTTTCGTATTAGATATCACATTTCATATTATATTAATTTTAAATCTCGTATTAAATTATACAATGTATAAATGTAATTAAATATTATATTATTATTAAACAATACAATACAAAATGTTTATACAGTGTATCAAACGTACCCTTATGTATCTTTTTTGTGTCTACATTGTACTAAACATCATTGTCAGTACATAGCAATATATACATATATATATATATATATGGTTATATTTAATTAGTTATCATCGATTTGCAGGTTGATGTAATAAACAGGATCTTGACCGTGGCAACTGCATAATTAATAAGAGGACCTCACTATCTCCACAACGTCTCTGATCGTGATGGCTGATATAGTACTATATAGAAAAGAAGACTAACAAAAAATAAAATTAAAACAATGCATTAAACATTATTTTTAAAAAACTAATTATAAACTATGCTTTGGTTTGAGTTTTAAGCTAACACGCCTCTAATAAGCAATTAACTCTAGAGTGTCTTTTATATTTGTCCAATGAATATAAAAAACGACGGTCGATCCTTGAATTATAAAATAAAAATCGTGATGCGTTGATCTATGACCTTTATTTTTGTTATTATAGTTTTTTTTTTACAATTTTAGTCTTTAAGAATAAAATTATAAAGAATTATGTAATTTATCAAAAATAATCATGTGCTTATTGCATGTCGAAATTTTATGAAAATAATTACATTATGTACAAATGCTTTCTTCACCATTATTAAAAATCCTAAAAAACTATAACATTTTGAACTTATACTATTATCAGCGCAACAGGATATGATTCTTCTTGTTATTACTTATTAGAATATTCTGTTAATTAGTGTCCTGGGATCAAAACGATTAAAAAAACGTAAGTGCGGGTAAAAATCAACAAAAAGAAAATCGAAGACCAAAATGAGAAAATACTCATAGTTCAAAATCAAAATTCCATTCTTCTTGAAGGTTCTGACAACATTTATTTTTCATCATGATATATTGATAGATTTTAATACTAATTACCTAATGTTTTTTTTTTTTTTTTTTTGTCACTAGTATTACCTACTATTTTAAATTTGTGACCATGACATATATATTGAAGCTCTGCATTTGTTGGTGTCTAATATATTATATGAAAATCAAATAGAATGCATATAAATTTAATATAACAATGAAAATCTCGTAGTTAAAAAAATGCACACAATTCCCCTATTACTGTATGCATGGCCGAAAATTAATTTGTATACCACGACAAGACACTGTTATATACTATTAAGGTTCCGTTCATTTCACCGATTCGAGTTTTATTACAGGAAAAAGCTCTCAGAAACAGTCATATTTAACTTTTTTGCTACAATAAAAAAGCTCTCACATAAAGTTACATTTCAACTCGAATCAGCGAATTAAATGGGTTCTAAATTAACATTATTTATAGGAGAGTTCTATAGTAGAACCCTACCGATAAGACACTATTCTATACTATTAAATTATGTTAGAATTATAACAAATTAAGAAAAAATCATAACTTAGCTAAACTTAAAAAAAAAAAAAAAATTTACTGGTAGACAACCTACGGAGAGAATTCATCCAATTTATAGCCCGTCACCTATTTGAGAGAGAAAAAATCTCCCACAAAAATACACACACACATATACATATACATATACATATATATATATATATATATTATGGCTATATAGTGTATCGTTTTCTCAAAAATCAATGAGACAACTAGTCAGAAAGTTTAAAAGTTCTGCTAGTGGAGTTCCAATATTGAATATCCTATCTAAATTTATGATTCATACTGCATTTTCGTTCATTCCAACTAAAGATGACTAGATGCCCAGCCCTTCCCGTTACAAGAGGCCCACTACTCAGATTTGTTAGTGTTTGTTGGCCTTATTAAAATCGCAGGTCATCACACCCATGGAACTACAGTATTTTATGCTTTATTAGTACTATTATTAACACTCCAATGGATAATCTAATTATAAAAATTAATTTTCCGCAGAGCAACAGGCATTATTAGACTTTTTTAGCATTATTAGACTTTTTTAAGCAAATTAGGTTCCTGTGCAACTGCTCTTTGAGAATTCCGGAATAAAATATTAAGATTATTCCGGATCGTGGATCGTGGCTCGCTACAGTATTTTTTCTCATAAAAAACACACGTAAATTAAGAATAATTCTGAATCTATTAACCAAACGTCCTCTAAAGGCTTATAATTGTATTAAAAAAAATGACTAATAATTAAATAGGGTACCAAATTAAGGTCACCGAAAACAAGTGACCAACATTATGAGGATCACAATGTCATTACTCATCAACACATATAGACGAATCTCGCAATTTGAAGGGCAGAAAATATAGTGAAATAAGAATCATGGTTGGAGAATTTTATAAATTTATTGCATCGAAATTTTTAATGAAGTTGGATGGAAAAGAAGAGAAAAAATATAAATATTGCGTTGAAATTGGAAGACGAAGAGCCCGTTTGGTTCATGGATTAGAACCATGAGATTATAACTATTTTTTACTTATGTGTGTTTTTTGTGAGAGAAAATACTGTAGCAAACCATGAATAACAAGTTATATGAAAGTACAAGGGATGTGAATCATAGTATCATACATTATAAATATGAATAAAAGAAAAAAATTATTTTATTTATGATTATTGATAATACAATTATCAGATATTGTGTTCGTACATTTATATTGTTACATAACGGGAATTAGCAATTTTATTTTCTGCATCATATGACAAGAATCAGTAATTTTAGTTTATTTTTGTTATATGACAGATCTACTCAATTTTCATGGAGTGATCCATTAGAATTAGATAGCATGACAGTAAAAATAGAATTGCTGGCCTTAATTTCTTTGTTTGTTTTTTTTTTTTTTTTTTTTTTTTTTTTTTTTTTTTTAAAGAAAAAAAAAAAAAAAAAAAAAAAAAAAAAAAAAAAAAAAAAAAAAGAAGACGTTTTTTAGAAACTGTTTTGATAACCTGAATAGTTACAATTACATACAAAAATTGACACCCATAAAAATACTGAGCCCCAATTTGCTTCCTGTTATCATATGATCAATAAGAAACGAAAACATACAGAGAAAGTCAGAAATCCCTCCGTCAAAAAAGAAGAAAAGAAAACGGAGAGATTCTGAGATATTTTCTGCCGTAATTACGCAACAGAATTCTAGTAATAATAATTCCGCCATAAAGATTTTCCAAGCTTTTTGACTTTGGCGCAATTTCTTTCTTTCTTGTTTTGTTGAACATCGCCGGCGAAAGATGACCATGATCATATTTAACGGCTAAGATGGCTCGTGGAAGACCTTAATCAGTGACCTTCGAGAAGAGATCACTCGTAATATGTACACAAACACTAATAATCCAGTACTAATATCTGTTTCTCCGTGGTAATCTCAACCTTAATCTAGCTTAATTAGTGCAAATCAGAATCCGAAATCGGAAACCGCAAACCCTACCAGCACTGATCCGTCTCCCAATTCCGGCGAGTGAATCCGGAAAATCCGGTAGCGACGGTCAACGGCCGGCCATGGCGCCTCAAAAGCTTCCGATCGTAATCGGCTCGCTTCGCCGGATCAGAGAGCGTGGAGTATGCGGCGTGGATCTTCTTGAAGTCGTCGGCGGACGAGTCCTTCCGGTCGATAGCTGCCACGTCGGGGTGGCAAACCCTAGCCAGCCGCCGATACGCCGCCTTGATCTCCTGACACGTGGCGCCCCTTGGTATGCCGAGGATCTCGTACAGAGACGCCGCCATGAGTCTGCTAGGGTTGTCGATGTTCAGAAACGACGCCGTCGAGCTCTGGTTCTGCTTCTTCTGCTCCTGCTTCTCCGCCGTGGCGGCGCCACCGGCGAAGGCGCGCACGGTTCCGAACCGGGGGGACGGCGGAGATGGCGAAGGTCTGGGAGAGAGCGACGGCGAAGGTCTGGGAGAGAGCGACGGCGAAGATCTGGGAGAGAGCGACGGAGCCGTGAGGAATGACGCTGAGGAAGAGAGCATTGTACGGAAGCTTCCAAATGCGAGCGGTTATGGTGACGAGAAAAAAGAGTGGGGAGTATGGGGATTTATACTGTTGTGGTTGTGGGGGAAGGAATTGGGTTTGGGCTTGGGCTTTGTGGGCACAGTTTCGACCTTAACCATGGTTAAGTTGAAACCCGTGTGGGTTAACTCGAGAAACGCTTATCCAGTTGTTGCTGACTCGGCTAATGTACTCTATCCAATTTCTTCCCTCCTCTTCACACTTTTATGATTCACTATTAATGCACCAAAAATTCTGGTATTTTGGAGGAATATTTAGGGTATGAAAAATCAATCCTCGATATTGTGTTATTTTTTATTATTATATCACATAAAAATCATATTAAAAATCAAAATGCCCGAAAAAACCATATCAAAATTAAAAAATATAAAAAAATTACGAAATTGAATACAGATCTAAATATATGGAAGTACTGCATATAGTATCAATGGAGTATTTTCACATTTTAGCACAAAAGTCTCTTAATTTTAGATTCAATGGTCAGGCCGTGTTTTATTGTCAAAATTGCTTATTATTATTATTTTTAATTTACCAAGTTTTATTAAAATGTAAATAAAAAATATCCTATGGTATTATGTTGCTTTTGTAGGCATTATATTATAGGTAAGAATACTATCCACATTCCGAAAAAAAAAAAAAGAAAAAAAAAAGATACTATCTAAACGTACATTCTAAAGAAGAAAAAAGAAAAATTAGCTACACTTAATATATATATTTTTTGGTCAAACGTGAGAAGAAGAAAATTTAACTCTAAACCTCAATGTCACAGAGATATAATATATATATATATATATATACATATGTGTGTGTGTGAAATTACTAACCATGTCCATACTGAAAATTATTACTTATTCTATAATTGAGAAAAGACGCATATCAGGATCAGATAGAGAATAAATTGAGGAAACAAGCATTTTTAAAATGGGGCAGTGAATGAAATTTCTGTTTTCTCTTTATATATTTGTATTTTAGATGTACAATAATTTTTTTTTTTGGTCGGTGGAAACAAGTGTCATTGAGTTTATTACATATTTATTTGCGATTCTTCTGAACGCGACGAACAGTAACTTATCCAGATAATACAACAATAAAGTTATAAAAACTACTAAAGACTAATAACGCCATAATCTCCGGTCTTAAAATTCTGTACTAATTATATGGATCACATGGGAGCAGTTAGGAAGGGACTAATGCTATAGAAATACTAGGGACACTAACTTATGTATTGACACATGAGTTGTTATTTTTATACTGATAAGTGTTTAAAATATTGATACGCCAATTAATGAAAGAGATTACATATACCAATAAAAAAAATAACAATTCACATACAACATTAATTGGTATATAAAAATTAAAATTTAAGTTAATGTCCCTAATATTATTCTTATGTCAATTTTGCCCAACATGCTAGAGACATAAAAAAAAAAGAGACAAAATTTGCGAATTATTATTCTTTAATATATACTACTTTACATTATATTTGTGAACATCAAGTAAGTCATTTTTGTTTATGTTTCTTTTATCAATTAAAAAATACTAGTATTACTCAATCTATCACTCTTTATATTTACTATTTAATACGTGTATTCATATAAATGAGCGACCCTAAGGCCCTGTTTGTTTTTATTTTCATTTTTATTTTTCACGATTTTCGAAGTTAAAAAATGAAAACGTGTATCAGAAATGCGTTTGGTGTAAAAGTTTTTACAAAACAAAAATAAAAATATTTTTGTCATTTTTTGAAAATCTGAAAACGCAAAAAACTTGTTTTCATTTTCTCCTCGTTTTTCTTTTCTCTCTTCCGCCCACCAAAGACTCCTTTTCATGTACGACTCCACCTCGTACATGAACGCGTTCAGATCCTCCTCCTGGCCTTTGCAGATTAGGAAGAAGCGGTCGTCGACGAGGCGCTCGTGCTTGACGACCTCGCCGACGCAGCTGACGTCAGCGGTGCCAGAGACAACATCGGAGTAGATGACGCCGAAGCGGAGGTCAGTCTGGAGGAGAGTATGCATCATCATCCAGTACCGGAACTCAAAGATCTGCAATGGAAGGATCACTCCGGGGAAGAGGACGAGAGGGAGGGGAAAAAGCGAGAGCTAGACGACGTTGTCTGACTTCGGCGAGCCAGCGTAGTGCCGCTCGGAGAACGACAACGCCGAGCACCGGAGAGCATTGGGCTTACGGCGGTGGTGGCGGCAGCTGCGGCGGAGCGAGGATAGGAATATCTGGTCTGGGTTCGAGGGAGGGAAAAAAGCGGGAGCTCGACGACGTCCTATGCGACTGCGGCCTCTGCGACGACGATGTCCTCGACGATGTATATATATAATCATGTTTATTTAATATATTATTATTTAATATATTTAATAATATTATTTATTTAATATATTATTACATGTTTTTAAAAATTAAACCACTAAACGCAGTTTCATTTTTTTTTTAAATTGAAATCAATCTCTAAATAAAACTACCAAACGCATTTTTAAAAATAATTTTAAAATAAAAATAAAAATATTTTTATTTTTATATTCATACAAAAAATAAAATCATTTTAAAATTAATTCTTAACGCACCCTAAAATTTTTCTTACTAAAATTCAATTAATATTTAAATTGTTTGACTTTTCTCAAGTCCGGCTAGTTGGTTGTAATAATTTATTATTTTAATATCATCTGATGCTTAAAAACGCGCAATGCTAACGGAGACAGTACTCTTCAAGGACTATTCTTTTTAATGTCTTTTACCTTTTCAATTTTGCAAGAAACGGGTCCTCCTGACTTCATAATGATGGATCAAATGAATAAGAGTACAATACTTTAAATTTTTATGTATGTATAAAAAATAATAATTGCCTTTTGAAATACGAACTTTTCTATTTTCATCTCTTATGCTCATAACTTAATCAGACGTGTGGATATGTAGGATAAAGAGATTGGCATGCACGACTCGTCCTCTAATGACAAGGACAAATTAAGTTATTAAAAGTCTATTATGTTGATTTAATCAATAATGATAAGGCATAAGACTTTATACATTTAAATTAAGAGAGATTTTTTAGTACGCTTAACGTATCGGTAAGTCATGTTTTTTTAACCACTAAATTTGTATATTTTTTAATTTTTACGTGATTTTATGTAAATACAAAAGACATAAAACTTAACCTACTAATAATATGTTAACATACCGGAGAAGATTCTCTAAATTAATATTACATAAAAAAAAAAAAATTGAGATCATTACAACAAAGAGAATTAGGTTAATAGTCAACCCAAGAAAACAATGTACACAACATTTTTTTCCCTCTTTTCATTTTTTTTTTTTTTAGAAAAACGGTGCCGACTTATTGTTATTTTTTATTTTTGGTATTCATGCATCTCTTCTAGATAGAATTAACAAGCATCTTAGCTTAGCCCACGTTCAATGTCATATAATAGCCATTGGTTTGGCTGAAAGAGATGCGTGCAGCTTAAAACGACAACATAGAAGGCAACATCATAACAGTGTAAGAGTCCGTTTGATTCATGCATTAGAATCATAAGATTAGAACTATTTTTAATTTACGTGTGTTTTTTGTGAGAGAAAATACTGTAGCGAACCATGAATCATGATTCGAATTAGAGAACGAATCCTCCAACTAAACGGGCTCTAAATCTACTATCCATTTCATATATGCTGATACCAATTACCAATAGAAGGAAATATTGCTGTCATTTTTCAATTTGGCAATTGGGCACCTAAGTCTTTCCTATTTTTTGTCGACCTTAACAATATATCACCAAAAGGATAAATCCAAGAACATATATACCTGTATATATATGTGTATATTATATATATATATATATATGAATGAAAAAGACAAGAGAGATGAATTCTCATAAAACAATATGGCATATAATAGGGCAGGAGCAAGTTGATGAGGTAAGCCATGGCCCTCCCATATTGTAATTTGAAAGGCCAATTTTTCGGCTGTGAATTGATTTGGCTGATTGGAGCTTTGTAGCTCTAGGTGCAACCAAAGAGTCATATTGACAAGGACCTCAAAGTTTCTGGTCCGTTGAATATTTTATTCAAAGGAAAGATATGAAATAAATGAGGCAACAAAAAAAAAATGAAAAAATTGTTTGGTTGTCTTGATTATTTGAATCCTTCTAGTACGGTGTATCTTGTTGATATTGTATGGCATTCATTTCATCGATTCGAGTTTATAATTTTGCTATAGTAAAAAGTTCTCACATAAAGTCACATTTTAATTTGAATTAAAAACTTAAATCAACGAACTAAACAGGTCTTATATGTGTCTCGATGTTAGATCAGATGAAGTCAAAATTATATCATAATGAAACAATATCAAAATTGAACGAGATTGTATGAAAATTCATTAGTGCAAAACAACATACTAATAGTGATGAAATTTTTGTACCCTACAAAACAATTGTCTTGATTATTTTAATTTTCAGTACCCTGACATATTTTAGTGCATTTCCTTTTTGCATTTGCCCCCCAAAATATCTTCATTTGCTGAGACAACAAAGTGGTGCATCCAAATTGCAACGATTGAGTGTGTGGGTCAGGGCAACTAGCTACTAGCTAGGATCTTCCCTCTTCAGCCAAAACAAAATAAAAATAAAAATAACACCTTATCTTCTTAGAAAATTATGTGGTGGTTAAAGCATAAAAAAAGAAATGTTAAGAATAATATGAGTATTTCACAGAACTTGTTGACAATTCGACGGCTAAAATCTGTATCACCGGTAGGATTATTTTTTCATACTCTACACAAATTTCTTCTCCATCTTTGATATTCTGATCCTAAAATGGTATTTTTAGCTCTTCAGTGACTAATGCTACATTTAGAGCAAGGATTCGTATAATGATTCAGATCATAATTCGTGGTTCGTTACAATAATTTTTCTAACAAAAAAAAAAAATACATGTAAACTGAGAATGAATAAGTTCTAGGTTTCACCGATTTGAGTTTTCAGTTCTAGGTTTCTACAGTAAAAAACTCTCAAAAAATGTCACATTTAACTTTTTCTTTTACAGTAAAAAATTCTTAGAAAATGTCACATTTCAGTTCAAATTAAAATCTCAAATCCGCGAAGCGAATGAGGCTTAAAATAGTCTCCACATCACCATCTGGCCCCATTTCCTTCCGCAATGCTGGGTTCAGAATGAATGGTTTGCGTATCTCTGTAGGCTCCTTATTATCAAAATGATAGACAAGTTGGATAACTATCTATTGGTTCCTTTTATCATTTGACAAGTGACAATTTTGATTCAAGTGGCCTTGACTGACTTTTCACATCTTTGGATATCTTTCTTTGGTATGATAATAACCATATAATGTGTTAATGATAATGATGTTAAGACACCTTAGGGTTTACTTTGTAGAGCTTCTTTTCTTTGGCCACACGGCAACTCGTATTGACGTTATCCTTTTAACATAATTATCTTTGACGACAAAATATTTAACGAAATACAAGAAAAGGAGTAACATCATAGAATAGTGTTAAAACAAATTAACAAAAGTTTAAACAACATTCATATGTAAAATCATAATCAACCAAATTAAAACGGCAGGCATCCAAATCTCTAAAAATATCAATATCAAAACTAAAGTATGAGAAAGAAATGCATATCTTACGCTATCAATTTCAGATTGTATCTTGTTTCCGAAAAATACAAGCTAATAAATAATTTTCCCCGTACAAATGATATTTTATTTTTCATAAAGCTGTTTCCTCTCTTTTTTTTTTCTTTTTTTTTTTTTCCGAAAAACGGTTTTTTTTTTTTTTTTTTTTTACAACACTTATATATGTCTCAATAAAGACCTCAAGGTAATGAAAAGATATTTTCAAAACTGTTAAGATATCATTTGATATTACCAAAACTAATGATATTTTTTCTAATAATCGCAAAAATACAAGCTAAAATAACTTTTTTCTATTATTATTGAGATAAATTTTATAAATTTCTAGAAACTATGTCATTTGTGTCAGCATATGTGAAATTTTAAAATGCACGTGATGTATTCCTGATTTAAAATACATCTCTAAATTTACTCCCAACTTTGAAACACACTATTCTTGGACCAAATTGTTGAGTTATTACTTAATTTAAGGTTAGATATAATATTTAGGGTGTTAATGAATGCCCTTGCTCCATAATAAATTAATTGGGCGCCAATAAACATGTTATATATTCTAATTGAGGATCCCTAAATCTCCCAGGATCCTTTGGTCTAATAGCATGATGAATGAGGGCTTTGGGTACCATCCCACATATAATTTTTATTTCTTATTTAAAGGATGGCACATGGTATAACATGTTTTTTTTTTTTTTTTTCCTTCTAAAGGCTCTTGCGATCGACATGTTTTATTTTTATGTTTTATCAAAAAAAAAAAAAAAAGAAGTGCTTTCTTTAAAAAATAAAATAATCATAGGGATAGTATTAGAAAATGTCTCTAGTGTTCCTTCTTTTTTGAAAACACCAGTGTTCTATACTTATCAACCGTCGGATCTGTATTAATTTTTCAATCTGATTTGACTTTTGAACATATTTAATATAGATTTGACGGCAGATGTTGATGCTGAAATCTGACACAACACACCGTGTGGAAGCGCACGGTAACCAGACTCTGTTCTCTACCTCTTCTAGTCGGATCTATAACACTGTTCGGAACAGATCCTTAGCACTGTTATGCTTAGGTCCTAGCACTATTCAGGACGGATCCCTGGTACTGTCCTACTCGGGTTCTAGCATTGTTAGGAACAGATCTCTAGCGCTGTTCTGCCCGGGTTCTAGCACTATTCGGGACAAATCCTTTGCACTATTCAGAACGGATCCCTAGTACTATTCTGCTCGGGTCCTAACACTGTTCGGGACATATCCCTAGCACTATTCTGACCAGTAACGAAAAAGGAGATGGCCTCAGAGTGAGGGGGACACCGATGTGGTGTCTGCCAATGGCACTCTGACGCTCAAGTCAATGTTATGGTTAGGAGCAACAATTGAGTGGGCAGAGTTAGGTGTGGAAAAATGTTTGAACCTTTGTGAGCTAATGAGCTTGGTATTTATAAAGTATTTTCAGATCCAGATAGTGTCCGGATTCGACCCAGAACCTGGGAGTGGCCCAGGTGTAAAGCTGTACCGGTCAGATGACAAGTGTCGCGCCCTATAAGTGGAGGGAACCCCCCTTAGGATTGCAGAGGAGGTCACGTGGCAGTCAGTTGGCTAATTGGGAACTTATCCTGTTCTGCCAATCGGTGTCGATTAGGGCTCGAACCACGTGCTCAGTCGGCTCGAATCTAGTGTTCCGCCTGTTTGGGCAAGGTGCTCGCCCCGGTCTGTCTGTTCAGGTTGTTCGACATGGTTTGGCATGTCGCGCATCGATAGGTGGAGGGGAGCCTCCATTGGGATTGCAGAGAGGAGGTCACGAGTAGTCAGTTGGCTAATAGAGAACTTGTCCTGATTTGCCAGTCGGTGCCGATTAGTGCTCAGACCACGTGCTTGGTCAGCTCAGATCTAGTGTTTGGCTTGTTCGGACCAGGTGCTCGTTCTAGTCTACATGTTCAGGTTGTTCGGCCTACTTGGCCAGGTAGACATGTTTGGCATGTTCGGACCAGGTGCTCGGCTTATTCAGGTTGTTCTTCCTTGTTTGGCCTATTTGAACCAGGTGCTCAGCCTGTTCGGATTGTTCGGCCTATTCGGCATGTTCGGGCTGTTCAGCCTATTCGGCCTGTTCAGACCAGGTGCTCAGCCAGTTCGGGTTGTTCTTCCTTATCGGCCTACTTTGGCGGGGGCCTATTCTTCCGATGACCACCTCTCAACAGCTGATAAGTTAGAAACACTGATGTTCTAAAAAAATAAAAAATATCAGAGAAAGTTCTATAATATTAAACTAAAATTAATATTTTATTCCAAATCTTTTACGGGTAACAAATTATATTTTAACTTTTGAAAAGAGTTTCTCTCTTTTCCTATGCTACGCACAAATGATCACTCCGAGACCATCCGTGACGGTGAAACACCATCTTATCCAAATAATAGAAAAGACTTTTATTATTAATTTATTGAAATAATATTTTATTTGATTTATTCGTTATTGCTTTTCTGGGTTACGTTTTTTTTTTTTTTTTTTTTTTATTCCTTTTTTTTTTTTGATATTTTTTTTTTTGTATCACATACGACTAGCTCATGAGATTAAATTTTTTGCCTCTTTGGTCCACCACCTTATAGTCTAGCTGTTAAGATAAAGACTAATCAAGATGGCAAACTGTTTACAAATCACAAAGGAAGGTTCACTTGTCCCATTTTTAAAAAATTAACACACATATATATATATATATATATATTACTATTATATGTTTCGTGTCGTTTTACAAATGTACTAACTTTCAATGAGAAAACAGTGTACATGCATGCCAGTCACATCTATAATTATTACCAAATAAATCCAGGACCTATTTAAATTGATAATTTTTTATTTTAGTATTTAAAATTCAAAATTTTGGTGAGAAAAATATTTTAGTAAAATTAAAATTGTGAGTTTATATATGAAACAAACAGGTAATGAGATTTTTAGGCCCTTAAGAGAACATGTATTGCTTGCAAATAAAGCTAGTGACTAATAATCTAATATATATATATATATATATGGATATACATATATACCGAAATTGTTTAACTTTCAAGTTAAACAATCACGAGACACGAGCCAAGATTGTTCCCACTTTGAAATTCTGATTGCTCGCTTCTGATCCAGAAAGAACCAAGTCATTAGAAGGTTCTGTCCAGATTAAAAATAGATTATAGATCTTTATGAATTGTGTCAAGTCAATAGATTCTAGAGCTTCACATGTTTCCAGAACCAAGTCATTAGAAGGTTCTGTCCAGATTAAAAATAGATTATAGATCTTTATGAATTGTGTCAAGTCAATAGATTCTAGAGCTTCACATGTTTCCAGAACCAAGTCATTAGAAGGTTCTGTACAGATTAAAAATAGATTATAGATCTTTATGAATTGTGCCGAGTCAATAGATTCTAGAGTTTCACATGTTTCCATTCAAAAACTAATTTTTAAATAACCAAGGATTATAACTGAAACTTCAAGCAAAAAAAGAAAGAAAGAAAGAAAAAAAGGATTCCCATTGAAACTCGGGAATATTTCTAAAGGGATGAGCAACTAGAGGTACTCGATGGAAGGAATATCACCGATAGGTGAGCAAATCCAGTTGAAATTACCAAAAGTAAACAAAGTTTTTTTTTTTTTTTTTTTTTTTAATAATTACACGATTTACAGGATGTGGTAATCAACTTATCAGCATTGCACCATCTAGAAGATCGAGAAAAAAAATAAAAATAAAAGCTTGACATCACTCAACAAAAAATTTGGCAGAAATGATTCCCGTCATTATTTTCCTCGTGATTTTGAAGCAGCCCATTTGAAATAACCACAATTTGCTTCGGGATTAGATGCAGGTCCCTGCAAGGAAGAAAAAAAACTATAAAGTAAGCCTCTTGTTAGTTCAAGTAGGATTTGGCTCTTCTTCTAAAGTTTTGACATAAACAATTCTTTGCGCTTGAAAATTGTACTATACCGATAAATCATCATAATGTTGCGTTAAATTGTCATTTTTTTTAATCTGACATAATTATAGATTGATCTACACTTAAAACTATACCTAAATTTAATTCTGATGATCAAAAATTCTATCCTGCCGGTAAAGTATTTTTTCATGCCCTACCACAATACATTTTTTTTTTTTTTTTTTTTTTGGGGGGAATCCCGTTACTTGCAGAAAGCATCATTGTATTTTCACCCCATTTTCCATTATATTTAGTAATGCACAAATTTTAGAAATTCCATGTTTTTCTTCAACAATGGAAAGACAAAATTGCACAAGAATCTTCAGGCTTAATTGATTATCAAATGTGTAGAATACCTCAGCACGTGCACAGACGTAAAATCGGCGACCAAAATTCAGACCTTGTTTCTTCACAACTCGAGCAACACAAGCTTCTTTATGGCCCTTGCAAAGGGGTATGCTATTCTGCATCATCTGCTGTATCCTTTGCCACTCCATTAAAGCAACAGTATTCTTCTCTGAAGAACAGTTCTTCACTTCATCCTGATCCCAAGTTGATGCACTAGAGTTGAAGTCACACTGATTAGGACCATCCCGTTGATTGATGTTCTCACTTTGATCCTCCCCAATAGGAGGATCATTTGACTGATGACTAGGCTCAACGAAATCAGCCCGACTCGCTGAAGTATCTATTTCATTATCGATACTATTGCTAAGGATTGTACTTTTCTGGAAAAATGACTTCAGTGTGAGTTGGGACCATTGGTTTTTCTTTGCCTTTTTCTTTGTTGTGGCGGTGCAGGCACCAACCAGACAACTTGAGGTTTCACAAGAAACTTCGTTGCCTGAACCCAAGTCCATATCTTCTCTTGAAATTAGAACTTCGGACTCTTGGCTTGAAAAAGAGCAAGGATTGGCAGGAGGCACACCAGGTAAACTGCATTGGTCAAAGGCTCTCTTCTCTCTATTAGTGCAACCTTCTAAAGTGATATCTCCATCTGGAGATGAACTTGACACTTCATAGGAGGACTTAATTTGTTTGGAAACTTGTCTTCTCATCAATGTTGAGACTGCACAAGGCCAAGGGCTTAGTCCATTTGGAGTGTTGTAAAAAATCAAGCAGCAGACCGGAAGAGGCACTTATAACTATATGAATTGGACAGATAAAAACAAACAAGAGTGTCATATTGAAAACAACGATATCTGTAATAATACCAAGAGTTTGCTGGACACCATAAACCATAGGGATGTATCTGCAAGATAAAGACGGCGTGTTGTGTGGGGGGACGCTAGGAATTTGCCGTAAACTTGTATAAACAGGAGCATGATCAGAACCTTCAAGCTTGATGCGCTGTCCTCCTTTCCACCTATCCATGAGGAAGAAAAAAAATTATATCCTTGCAAGATGTAGCATCAACATCTAAATAAATGCCACAATGCAAACTAGGGGTGGGAATTCTAACTCTGGACCTCAATATTAAAGGAAGTGGTATGGATTTACCGCTAAGTTATGCCAATATGTCACACTCATTAACATGCATAATTACTGTACCTTGGTGTGTTTCCAGGTTTCCACCGTTTATATTGTGTCAATATGTCACACTCCTCAACATGGCAAGTGAAGAAGCTGTGATCTTTCTGGTCCTGCTCTTGGTGCAAGCATGATCCAGCACATAGAATGTGGTCAATTCTTGTCCCATAATTAAATTCTTCAGCACCTGTATTTTGCGGCCAGCATGTGTATGCATCCCTTCTGCAACGAGGAAAAAACAATCACGCTTTCAAAGTCATTCAATTTTACAAGGACAGAACTTGAAATTATCATGGGATCAACAAGGCCATAAAGAACTATAATAGAAGCTTTATACCTATCGGGATGTTTTGCTCTGAAAACATCAAAGAAAGCGCCTCCATTGTCCACTAACATTGATCTAAACCATCGTCTAAACCTACAATCAATATCAAAATATTCAGAATTAGCCTCCTCTGTCAAACAGTTGTAAAAGAGAGTTCAAAACGTAACCGCAGCCAACTGCAAAGTAACTGTGGCAGTGGCTTACTCATTATTTTCAAAATCTGGTCCTGCATCGCAACGATCTAAACTAGTGGGTGCAATGTTAAGGTCACCAACAACAAATACCCTCCTTCCTTGACGCAGCAAAGACTCCCATCTTTTCTACAGAAAGAGTAACACGTATCATCAAACAAATATAAAAACCACAAGTTCATTTTGGTTAAACTAGTTAAAATAGATTTCAACTGCTTGTGATTAAAATTAAACTACCACTAATAATAAGAATAAGAATGTTCAAGGTGCAGCAATCAGTTTCCATATAAAAGTACACCGGTAATGCTTCTGATAGGAATAACACATGAAGAATCAAATTCATAAAGATCTTCACGAACAGAAAAATGGTAACTTAATCTTGGAATCAAGAATATCCAAACAATAAAGGGCAAATTGGAAAATGACAAAGAAGGTAGCTTAAAGCTTTCCATATTCAAAACCTAGAACAATTATTCACCTTAATTATTCTCGTCACTCGTCAGATGCAAAACATAGATGAAAATGTCGGCATTACAAAAAACGGAAAATACCAAGCAGAACTATGGTTGAATAAGGTCTATACCAACGGATGTCGACATTCCATTGCAAAGAAAATATTTTTTCCCTCGTTAGTTGTTAGCTGAGAATCTAAATAAATGAATGACAAGGCCATAAATCATAAAATGAATTCTACTACACAACAGAACAAAAATTTACGCAGACATTATGTTTAATGCAAAAAGAACAATTTTCATACCTGCATTATCTTAAAGAATTTGAGCTTAAACTCAATCCTTTCCAAATCATCGGATTCCGCTCGAGGCCCGTACAAATTGAACAGAACTGGCCAAAATCCCAACATGAATTCCACCTTTCCACGCCATAATCAGACGCAAAAACCAAATCTTTAAAAACACACATTATAAACCAAACCCTAAGCTTCCAATTCCCAAACGTCAGGTTAAAACTAAACTGAACTCACCAAAATGAGTGTGATCAGTCACAACGCACCGTCCCTCGCAATCAACCCTAAGAAGCTCATCTCTCTCGAACTCCTCAAGCCCCGGCGCAACCGCAGGCGAACTCTCGAGAACTCCGGTGAATCCCTCCGCCGCCGCCGCCGGCAGCGCCGCCTCCGCGCTCGAGAACGCAGATTTCACGCGGCAAAAGGTAGCGACGCCTGAGAATCGACAAAAACAAGAACGGAAATTGAGAGATTATAGAGAAATCAAGAACGAATCGGAGAATTTCCGGTTGAGGCTTTGGACGAACGAACACCTTACCGGAATATCCGGCGCGGCGGCCGCGGTCGGAGGCGCATGAGCAGGAGAAGAAGGACTCGTATCCGGCCGCCGAGACGATATCGGCGGGGGGGGCCCGGGGGGGGGGGGGCCTGGTACCGGGCCGCCGAGACGATATCGGCGGTGAGCTCCTGGCGGCGAAGCTTGGTCTCCTGAAAGCAGATGACGTCAGCGTCGAAGGAATCGAGGAGTTTGAGGAGAGAGCCGTGCTGCGAGATGCGTGGTCTCAGGCCGTTCACGTTGTACGTCACGATCTTCATTTTTTTTTTGTTTCTTTTGCCGGCAATGCGAAAGGAGAAGCATTAAGGCGGGGAGACAAGTCTGAAGTGCAAACCACCGAGTTTGCAATGCAAGTAGGGAGATATGTCGTTTTTGTTTTCTTGGCTGGTTAACAAACGACATGTCGTTCTTATAACCGTATAGAAAACACAAATGGCTAGTCACTAGTGTGAAATGCATTCTCCAACACGTGCATTTAGTTAGTGTATTCGTATCATGATTTAAATCATAGTTTATAATTTGATATAATATTTTCTCTCACAAAAACCCACATAAATTAAGAATGGTTCTGAATCATAATTCTGAATGGTGCTGTGGACTTTGACATGTTATCTAACATGAGAAGTCTCGTTTACTTGGACCTAAGCTATATTAAGTTATCGTTGCTTTTTGACCAAAGAAGTATGAATGCAACAACTTCGAAATTCATGGGTATGGGATTAGCTTCTTGCGACTTGAGCAACCTGAAGCCCTAGATCTTAAAAGTCGTGTCTAGCTACGTTAGTCTAAGTAATTCTTGATCTATCCATCGCTCTCTTAATACTAGGTATTTAGATGTTCTCCCAAGCATGAATATGTGCATCTAACGATCTACGTTGTACATGTCCGTGCCACCTCAGACGGTTTTCCTGCACCTTATCTTCTATTGGTGTTACACCTACTTTATTACGAATAACTTCATTCCGTATGCGATACATCCTTGTATAGCCACTCATCCATCTTAACATACGCATTTTCGTCACACTCATCTTATATATTTGTTGTCTCTTGATGGCCCAACATTCACTACTATATAACACAGTTGGGCGAATTGCTGTCCTACAGAATTTTCCTTTCAACTTAGTACTTTTGATAATTCCTCTTTTGAGGGTAATCCAGGTCTCTGTGGGATTCCGTTATCCAACAAGTGTAGAGATTCCAAGGCCTTGCCACTACCACCTTCAATTGTTGAAGAAGATGATAATTCGGAGTCCTCGATTGAACTGGATTGGAAATTTATTTTGGCTAGATGTGTATGCGGGTTTGTCGTTGGAGTTGATCTCGGCGACATGGCGATCACAAAGAGGCGGGGGCGATTTCTCAAGGCTTTCAGAAGAGTTCCTCAGAGGATGGAGATTAGGCAACGTTGAAATTGAGCTTACCATGTTATTTGTCCCTGCTCTACTTATTTTCTTTCAATTACACACTCGGTTTTGCCTTGTTTGGTGTGTGTTTAATTCCTTTATATAATGCCATTTATCAGCGATGGTTTGTCTATGACTATACGTGTGTTTCTTTTAGCGACTTTTCCGACATTGAAACTAACAAGTTTTACCTTTTGTCAAATCTCAACTTCTTTCTTATAATGTAGAAGTCTTGTCGGAACTTTCATATGAGATCGGCCTGCTTTCTTGTGAAAGGAGTCATGTGTATTTTTGTTATATATCATCTACTGCTCATTTATATTCATATTTTTTTTTAAGTTCTTTTTCGAGCAGTGCAGCAGTATGTTTTTAATGGTAACAGTATTGACTTCTAAAAACAAATTAATTATCACCACCTTTTTCATGTGATAATGTAAAATGTAGAGGCCTTGTTAATCTTAAAAATTTATTTTGCTAATAATAAGAATTGGGATAGCCCATGGTTTTTTCAAAAAAAAAAAAAAGTAAAAGAGACTCTTCTTACGTGGTTGATTATTTATTGCAGAAGAAGGTTGTTGCTCCTTGGAGAATTCAACAAAAGTGGTGGGCAACTTTCTGCAAACTTTTCATTTCAGCGATTCGAGTTTTATTATAGTAAAATGCTCTCATAAACAGTCACATTTAACTTTTTTATTAAAGTAAAAAATTCTCACATAAAATCACGTCTAAACTCGAATTAAAAACATAGTTGGTTTCCCATATCTTTAGAGATGGTAATCTATTGGATTGGTCGTCTTTCAACTGAAGCAATTCAATTGGGCGTTGCAAATTGTTGGCATACTTCTGCAGATATTTACTGGATTTCATCTTTAGAGATATGGCTTTCTTGCCGAATAATAGGTTTCAACGACCAGAGAGAATCTAATGTAATGAATTCCATCAGGATCATGCACTCTTTTTATCCTGTTCAGTTTTTAACGAGGCCTTTCTTTCTACAAGAGCAGATCCAATAATGATGGTTGTTTCTCTCCTTAAGCTTGGTCTAGTACGTGTGATGTTTGTTTGCCCATTTTCATCTTTTTAGCTCTTTTAGTTGTATTCGATCCTTTTGTAATTTCCGTTTGTTATCTTTTTAGCTCTTTTAGTTGTATCTTATCTGTTAGAAAAATAGCATAAAAAAAATGGAAACTAACAAGTATATTGAAATAGACAATCGCAATAAACAAATACAGTTGCAGATCACAACAACAAAATATTAAAAAAAAAAAAGAGCAATAACAGAGATTGGAAGCACGTAGTTACACGGTGTCCTTAAAATAGATTCGCCCCTCACCGTCGGTGTTTAAGGAGTTCCGGCGTCTGTCTTTCAGGATTCAACGGTCAACAAGAAGCAACAGTGCACAACGAAACTTCTTTGGCAAACTTGAATAGTGCCCAAACTCTATCACACTGAGCGCCTAGACTAGAAGAAATTTTTCTGAGATATTCTGAGAATTTCTTGGTGTACAAAAACAATGGAAGGGATGCCAATTTATAGCACTCGGAGGAGACCATTGGAGGTCATGGTTGCTTCATATATTAGGAATCCAACGTCATTTAATCTGAGGCATTACTCCTCCGCTGTTACAGAAGCCAAACAGCCACTGTTGAACTGGAAAAATAAAGCAGCAAAACCAAGGCCGCGCGGGGCCGGTCTTTCGAAGAAACATTCATGCCCGCAGGACGTGCACGAGTCCTTTGAATCGTCCCCAAATTTTGATCTGGGATTTGCACCCCCTGCGCGCGCGTGAGAGAGCATCTTTGCTTACTAGATCACACAACAACAAATGTGTAATCTTATTTAAGCACCATAGGACTCTAATTCATTTCCCATATTGGACAAGGATTTTTCCTCTAACTTTTCAGCTCATAGGGTGCACTTTGAACATCAATTTTTCATTCACCTAAGCGTTGACTTTAAGTGTTGAGGGACGTGAAAAAATCCCTTAAGACCGTTAGGTATTTAGAGGGGACGGTACGTATAAATAATGAGTATAAGACCCGACTATGCCGGGATCCTGCGAGATGGACTCTTTAAAGAGTTGAGACATTACATATTTAAATCACCATAATTCAAACTAAATTTTATAATCTGAATGCGAACCAAACAAGACCCTAATAACCCTATTTCTAATCATTAATTTCGTTTTCATGTCACGTTATCTCAAAATACAATGCTTTTCTTTAGTAAGTTTTCGTTAAAAAGGAAGAAAAAAAAAACGTCACATCCTTTCTCTTTTACTAAGAAAAGCACGTGTGATGAAAATTTTTAACATCTCAATTTAAATGTAACACAAATCTTTTAATTTTTTAACTTTTAATCGCTTAAATCTAGTAAAAAATTTGAATAAATTTAGAAAAATAAACTACATTGTAATAATTTTACAAGTTTAAGGAGTTAATTGTCAGAATTAAAAATTTGAGCAATTTACTAAAATACGATAAGTTCAAAAGGCAATTGTGATAAAAACCCCTCCTAAAATTAGACGACTTTAGAAAATTGACCCTTGTTTACCACATTTCTTAATAAATGGCCAAAGTTTTTATTTTTTATACATATGACCGAACCTTTTTATTTTAGTAAAGTGGTCTTTCTTTCGTAGTTAATCAATGATTGACCGACAATTAATCAATAATTGACCTATCCGTTATTATAATTTATAATAATTTATCATTAATAAATATGTAATTTATTGATTAAAATTGATTAATTAATAATTAATTTTGACTAATTATTAACTAATACTTATTAATAATGAAAAATCATCGTGTTAATTAGTGATAAACTTAAATCAATTAGTGATTGACCGTTAGTCCTATTAATTAATAAAAAACAGTTATTTTACTAATTTTATAAAACTTGTGTTAATTTAAAAAAAAAAACCTTAAAAAGGATTATTTTCCTCTATATCCATTTTTCTAATTTTTCTTTTTTTTTAAAAAAAGTTTCAAAATGTCACTGTTTAAAAAACGACACATATTAACTGCCGAACATTGATCACCGGGTGAAATTCCACTCTTACCCACTGGACTTAACAATAATTGCGGGTCCAGCAGTTCATTGAATCATCTTCCCCACCCACAGCCCCATCAATTCTCCCCGTGCTGGCTCCCTCTACTCTCTCGTACCAAATCTAAAAACTTTAGAAAAATCAAAAGCTATTTGATGTCGTTTTTTCGTTTTGGCCAAAAATTCTCTAACAATTTCCGTGAAGCCTAAAAGCGAAAGTAAAAAGCCCTATCTTTGGACAAAGAAGAGAGTTTAATGTGAGAGTGGAAATGGAAAGATGGCAATCCGACGATTTCTCTCCAGCTTCAGCCTCGTCTCCTTCTCACCCCAACTCCACTCGCTCCAACTCTGATTCCAGGTTTTTTTTTTCTTATTTTTTTGGGTTAATACTTTGCTCTCTCTCTCTTTTATTGCCCTTTTTTTTGTTCTAGTTTTTTAGCCTTATTTCGACTGCGAAATTGTCTTAAAAAGGGATTTTGAGTTTGCTCTGTCTTCCCTTTTAATTTTGCATAATTTGATCCTCTTTTGGTGGTTTTTTTAATAGACAAAGGACGGATGTGGAGGGGGATCCCATTGCTGCAAGAAAAGTTCAGAAGGCGGACCGCGAAAAGTTGAGGAGAGATCGACTGAACGAGCACTTTCTTGAGTTGGGAAACGCATTAGGTATGGTAGACTGCTTTCTTGTTAATTATGATGAAGGAGCATTGTAATAGCCTGCATTAGCCGTTTTGTATAGTAATTAGTGAATATAGTCCATACAAATTTTATAATAATTAATTTAGAAAGCCAAGAATTCTCCTGCATACTAAGGGCCCTTTTAGTATATGGGTTTAAACCACTTGATTATGAATTTTGAAATTTAAACTTTTTGTGCAAAAAAAAAAAAAAAAAAACTGTAGCAGAATTAAAATTATGGATTTAAAATTATGAATTAAAAAAAAAAAAACTGTACCGATCTGAAAAAAAAAAAAAAAAAAAAAAAATTGATTGGTTGTAGTGTAATTAAAGAGCTGCTCTTCCATGTGGTGGCTATGGAGGTGGAAGTTGCCGTTGTATAGGTTAGGGGGGCTGAGAAGCTGTTGCTTGCTGTCTGCTTCATGAGCTTTCATTGCCCCGTTCTGTAACTTCTTTTCTTTGTCCATCCACAAGGATCTAAAAAAATAGAGAAATGAAGGGGTAGCTATCTAGCGGGAGTCATTTTAGTTGTATTACCTTCTAGTGACTATTTCTTGTAGTGCCGGTCAAGTCCTTGGTACTTGGACAGTCACACTGTTAATTTTGAAATGCAGATCCTGATAGACCGAAGAATGACAAGGCAACCATACTCACAGACTCGATTCAAATGCTGAAGGAGTTAACTGCTCAAGTCGACAAACTCAAGGCAGAGTACACCGCGCTTTCTGAAGAATCACGCGAGGTGAAATTCTCCTTATGCATTGTACTCATGGTTGCGAGTACTATCATTTGTCAATGTCATCAATTATTGTTTACTACACACAGCTGACGCAGGAGAAAAATGAGCTAAGAGAAGAGAAGGCATCTTTAAAATCCGATATAGAAAACCTCAACGCTCAGTATCAACAAAGAGTGAGGGTTATGTTCCCGTGGACTGCCATTGATCCTTCTTCTGTTGTTATGGGCCCGCCTTATACGTATCCGATGCCTGTACCCATTCCTCCAGGTCCAATTCCATTCCACCCGTCATCACAGCCGTTTTCGTTCTTTGGAGGTCAAAATCCTGGTCCTATTCCCAATCCTTGTCCTGCATTTGTCCCATACCCGACTCCTGCCAACCCTGCCAACCCTGCTGTGGAACAACCAGCATCTCAGTATGCGTCTACTTCCCACATTTCGGGCAAACAAGATTTGAAAAGCAAAGATCAGCAAAGGGGCAGCAGTGTGGAAAGATGTGACGGTTCCAATGACGTAGCAACAGATCTTGAACTCAAGATGCCAGGATCGTCCGCGCAACAGGTTTGTTTTAGAGTTATTGACAATAGTTGGCAATTGAATATTGTAGCTTGACTTAATGGGTCTTTTTTTTTTTTTTTTTTTGCAGGACTCGTCTTCTTCCGGAGGTAGGAAGGGCAAGCAATCACAGAGGGAGGAAAGGACAACTACAGACGGAAGCTTGTCGAGTAGGTATTCATCTCAAGTTCATCAGGATAGCTCCTCCAACAGTGTGAGTGACGTCCCAAAGTCTTGACAACCGAAGATATTCTAATTTTCTTTGCTACTGATTGAATCAAAGCATGAGCTGCAACACCCAATATGATGTTGAAATTATCTGAATCTGTTCTAACCCAATTTCCAGTAGGTTGGATTCTCTCATTCAACTGACATATCTAGATTTCTCTGATATTCGTCCAGGATAGCATGAAAAAACATGCTTTAACTTGTCAAGTTCATGTATGCTCAAGAACCACCTACTGGTTGGTTATTTTTGTAAATTATCTGTATAATGTAGTTACTGGTCTAGCTGTATATTCCACTTCCAGCTATGATTTATAAAAAAGAACCATCAATTTGGCAATTTGCGTTTGCATTCTTTATATCACCTTTATGTGTGAAAAGAATCTCAACCAACAAAAGGAAATGGTTTTTTTTTATCACTAATGGATATTGCTCGCTTGAAAAGAAAAAGTAGAAATTGCTTTACTTTTATCAGTGCCTTGTACCTTTTCACCTACAACCTGAAGCAAGTTAAAAGTCGCCGGAGCACAATAAAATTTCAAAGAGCAACCACACGGCTGTAGATGAAATGCACCACATTTTCACTATAAATTTATTTATGTCACACATTACAATTTGTAGGGCACCAACACTCCCCAAGGATATACACTAGTTTTAACCACAACACCTGGAGCCATCTTCTGCGCAGATTCATCCAAAACCAACTCCGATAGAACAACAATGATTCGATCTGCAAATCACAAACACAATCTAATGCAAATCCCATTACTCGAATTGATTTGGAAGTAGATAAAATTAAGGAAAATGGAACCCCACCTTTCTTACTATCTCTCTTTCTGACGCTAATATTTTCAAAAATGTAGTTTCTGAGTCTATAACTTTCGAGTGTTACGTGGACCAGAAGACGGGCTAGCAACATTTCGTGAACTAATGCTTGCAGTTCTGAGAAGCCTACGGAATTCCGCTAAGCTTATCTTCCCATCTTTGTCGATATCAGCCTCCTCAAGAAGGGGGTCAATGGAGCCTCTTAAGCCCGTGTGCTGCAAAAGAAGTGATGAAACCTCAGGGCCAACAACAGCAATATTATGAAAACAAATAACTAGAAATCATAAGAATGAAAAAAAAAAATGCTCCAAGTAAAAGCACTGACCAATCTGAGTTCCTCTGGTGTTATAAATCCGTCTTTATCTATATCAAACTTTTGAAAAGCTGCATGTGAGCGTTGTTGCCACTTGTCAGAGTCATGTTCTTCCAATTGATGGACGTGAAGCGTGGCTGCGACGAACTCGGAGAAATCCACAAGCCCATCGGTGTTGCAGTCAATCTGAATCAAACATATAAAACAAGGACAATGCAGTTACCCACGACAGAAAGGAAGCAGTATTCATTGACATAGTTCCAGTGTTTAGAAGGAGGGCGTTCAAAAAGTAGGTCATATGAAAGAAATAATCGAGTCATCTCATATGCGCAAGATTAATACTACCCTTTCAGGTCCTAAATTACACAAAGCTTTGCAGTATACTTGTATTGAAAAAAAAAAAAAAAAAAGAAAGAAAAAGAAGAAGAGCGGGGGGGTTGGAAGACCTACAGCTTGCAGTATCTCTAGAACACCTGACTCTTTCAGTTTCCAGGGAAGATCTTTTGCAAGGGCCTGCAATAGGAACATATTTGTTAGTACAGAAACAAGAAACTGTATGATGACTGACTGGTGCACATAAATTATAGAGAACCGAGAATAAAACCAGGAAGAGAAATACATGTCTCATTTCTTCAAGACTAATAGAGCCGTTTTTATCCACATCAATTGCGTCGAATTGATCTCTGAGGTCAGCAAGCTCCTCTTCGTCAAGTGTGCTTGCCAATGCCTGCAAGACCATCAAAATGAAATGGATTATTGAAAAACCCTTTCTTCTTTTCATGAACCTCCAGCTACAGAAATCACCTTACCCTTAAAGCAAACTGTTTCAAACGACTGTACTTCACAAACTGACGCATGTTATTCAGAACAGATATATCGATCGGGATCTCTGATGCACTTCCTCCTTCTCTAACCCAAGGGTGTGCTGGAAAGTAAAAACAAATAATAAAAGTTAAGCCAGACAACAATCTCAATTAAAGCTCTCGCTAGAAAAGATTAGGGAATACGACATGAAAAACCAATAAGGAAAACCCAGGACATCCCTTTTAATATCCTTAATCAAAGGTCCAAAAGCATTTATAAACAAAGAGAAACAATCAGCATCCATTTTACCAAGGTAAGAATAAAGAATATGCAAACTTACACAAGGCCTGAGAAGCAGTTAGTCTTGCCCTGGGATCTTTTACCAGCAATTTCTTCACAAAATCTTTAGCACTGTTACTTATGCTTGACCAAGGCTTGCGACGAAAATCAGGCTTGTTCCTTAAGACCTGGAAAACATGAAAACCAGTAACATAAGTATACTAGAGGGAGGGAAAAACGGAGGGGAAAAAGAAAAGGACAGTAACAGAATAAAGGAGCCAAAAAAAAAAAGGCTGAAAGTTATTTGCTGTGATTAGCTGCAAAGGAGTTTCAAGCCACAAAAAGAAACATGTCATGGGTAAGGTACTTCGGGAAAAGAAAAGACCGCAAGGAAAGTGAATCTAAGCGTCTAGTTCTCCTTTTGTCATGGAAATTGGAGATTTGGCTTAAAAAGTGACAAAGCTCTTCAAAATAGGTAAAAATTTGTTGGAATGAAGATTGGTTATTGACATAATGACATGATACACATGGTGCATACTGCGTACATGAATATTCAAAAAGCGCAAATTTCTACCAAATTAAAAGAAATAACAAATATACAAGGATTGATCGAAAGAAACATGCGTGGAAATTAGGAATGTACTAGCACCTCCTTAAATATACCATCTTCAGTCTTATCCCAGAAGGGGCGCCTTCCACAAAGTAAAATATAGGTAATCACACCAATACTCCAGACATCAGATTCAGGCCCTGACTTGCGTTTCAATACTTCTGGAGCAACGTAATAAGCACTGCCCACAATATCGTGGAACTTCTTTCCTGCATACCATTTATAAAAAATATAACTTACATGGCCAGAAACTCCAGCTACAAGGTGGAATATGGAAGACCCCAACGAAAGTGTCGCCAGTAGTATAAGCACTAAGCATTGACATAATTACAGCTCCAAAATGACAGAAAAGGGAGGAAAAGCTAGATATCTCATGCAGTCCTTGCAATAGGAATATACTCACCTGGTTTAATGAAATCTGACAAACCAAAATCTGTGGCTTTCAAAGGCGAGTCCTCTCTGGTTGATTTGAAAAGAAAATTCTATGGTAAAGGAAGAAAAAGTAAGGGAACCCATTAAGCAAAAAGAACTGGTTACAGTTGAACGAGCTACTTGTGCTAGTAAGTGTGGCCATACCTCTGGTTTCATGTCACGGTGTACTAAACCGTGTAAATGACACTGGGCTGCAACCTTAAGCATCTGACGTACAACTACTGCTGCATCTTTCTCGGAATAACGACTATCCTTCCTGATCAGAGTGGTGAAAGTAAATAATTGTTTGAAATACCAAAAACGTGACAGAATGCAATATTTGGTCCTTAACTATTGTTATAATCAAATTTTAGACCAAAATACACGATGTAGATGGCTAATATAGCAAGGAATAACATTTTTCCGGAATAAAGATTCTTACTTGGCCAAGATACGATCCAGCAATTCACCACCCTCGCATAACCTGCAAGCAAGTGTGTTAGAAACTGAAGAACACGTATAATCCCGCACGACGCGTGATGAAGCATAAAGATAAAATTGGAATAGTCTTGAAATTAAGCTTGCGAGCAACACTTACTCCATAACTATATACACGTATGAATCATCCTCAAAGGCATTGTAAAACTGAACGACATTCTCGTGGCCTGTAAGTTCTTGCAATATCTTAACCTCTCGCTTAACATCCTCAACAGCAATAGGAAGAACCATCTGCCACCAACACCAGAGAGTTATTTCCTTTGGTTAATTTTTTGCAACTCTAAAAATTTGTTACTAAACATTCCCAAACTTCCATAGCAATGCTGAAACAAGACATTATACTTGTGAGTGCCATTGATTACTCTCATAAGAACAGCAAGTTGCCAAAAAGATTTATTTCACGAAAAACATAAGAACTAAGCTTGGTCAATTTAGATGACATTTCAGAAGCCTAAATTGAACCCCACAATTGAAATCAATCCCACGTGAATCCAGGGAACCAAAAAGAGGAAAAAAGAACCGATAAGACTTCCCAATTATATGAATCACTAATCCTAACATAGGACACAAAAATCCCCAACTGGAAAGTGGGGGAATCTACAGGAAAAGTCAAACACACATTTGGGTTCAAATCACCATTACCAAAATGCCAATTCACGAGTAGAATCTCCAGCTTCCAATCACAAAATTCCCAGATTCGCCCACCTCAAAAATTCTTCAAAATCCCCAAAAGCAAAAGAGATTAAGAAAAATTAAGGATTTTTTTTCCATTTTTCCAAAAAAAAAAAAGAAAAAAAAAAACCTAGATTCAATTCAAGGAAAAGCCAATAAATGCCTCAAAATTTTTCAGAGAATCAAATTGGACGGAAAAAAAAAAAAAACCTTGTTCTTCTCGATTCTCTTGACGGCGACGCGGTCGCCACAAAATTCCCAGATTCGCCCACCTCAAAAATTCTTCAAAACCCCAAAAGCAAAAGAAATTAAGAAAAATTAAGGATTTTTTTTCCATTTTTCCAAAAAAAAAAAAGAAAAAAAAAAACCTAGATTCAATTCAAGGAAAAGCCAATAAATGCCTCAAAATTTTTCAGAGAATCAAATTGGACGGAAAAAAAAAAAAACCTTGTTCTTCTCGATTCTCTTGACGGCGACGCGGTCGCCATTGACCTTGTCGGTGGCGACGTAGGTGTAACCGAACTGGCCATGGCCGAGGAGCTTCCCGATCGTGTAACGCCGGTCGAAATCCTTGGCGTACCCGAAATCGGTGCGCTTGCCGCAGGGGATAATCCCGCTCTTCTGCCTCCTCGCGTGGTTGGTGTTCTTCTCCTTCTGCTGAGGATTATTGTTCTTCTGGTTCTGGTGGGTCCCATTGCCGCCACGCCTGTTCTTCAGCCTTTGCTGTTGATTGTTGTTGTTGTTCGTCGACGACGCTGACTCTTGCGGGATTTTCGTCGTCGTTTTCTGCGGTTTTGGTGTCGTTTCCTTTCCGTTATTGTTGTTGGTGCTGCTATTTGAGCCGCTAACTTTGGCCGTCGATATGCAAGCTCCCATGGTGGTTGAAGAAGAAGAAGAAGAAGACGATGATTATTAGAAAAGGAAAAGATGAAGAAGAAGAAGAAGAAGAAGAAGAAGAGATAAGAGATTGATGAGAGGGTTTAGAGGAGAAAACCATAACAGAAATTGTAATGAAAACTGGGAATATAAATGAGAGAGAAAGAGAGAGAGAGAGAGAGAGAATGAAAAAAAAAAAAAAATGGGAGAGGAAAGACTGGAGCAGATCGGAGGAAGAAGGGAAGAAAGAGGGGAGGGGGAGGGAAGACAGATGGTGGTCAAAAAGAGACTTTTGAACCCAAAAAAAAAAAAAAAAATGTCTGAAATTGAAACACCCTTGTGTGTGTGTGTGTTTTTTTTTGTTAACGGATAATTCTTTTAAAAAAAATAGGATTACCATAGAAACAAAAAAAAAGAATAGTACGGTAAAAAATATCTTCTCAAAAATATTTAGGTCAATCACGTAAATATCTCGTTCACTTCGTTGATTCGAGTTTGTAATTTGAGTTGAGATGTGATTTTATGTGAGAGTTTTTTACTGTAGTAAAAAAGTTAGATGTAACTGTTTCTGATAACTTTTTACTGTAGCAAAACTCAAATTCTAAACTCGAATCGGTGACGGAGCCATTTTTTCTTCGATTCTTATGAGGGAGTGTCTTTTAACGTAAAAATATAACTATGAAAACGTAATATGATAATTATTAAATATAATATTAATATTAGAAAACAATAATATAGTATTTAGTGTTTATTTCACAATTTAAATTTAAATTGTATATGTGAGATAAATATATTATAATAAAAAATTTAAATTTAAATTTTTATGAGAAAATATTGTAACAATAGAACTTGAATTGTGACTTAAGTTATTAAATGAACAAAACTTAAATTCTTTAGTATTATTTCTCTCAAACGTCGATGTTACGTTTAATAATTGTCATGTGATGAGAATCTTCTCCTAGTACAGTTGCTTTGCTTCAAGCACATCATAAATAAAATGAAGTCTAGCATTAACATGCTTGGATCTCAAACTGTTGAATTCTTAGAAAGGTGTATGACACTCTGTCGCTTAGGCAATATACTTCTCTTATTGCATGCTTAATTATTCAAGAAATTTTTTCCTCCACAAAGCTTTCTTGCAACCTTAAGTGATTGCGATGTACTCACCTTCTATGGTGGATAAAGCGGCACAATTTTGTGGCTTAGACTGTCAATACACTGCTCCCCTTACAAAAGTCATTAGAAATCTGAAATTAACTTCCTGAATTAGAAATTTGAAATTAACTTTCCATAATCAATATCACCTGCTATGTTTAAATCTATGTACCCATCTAGAATGCACTCACCACTACTAAAGTATAAACACAACTTGAAAGTATCTCTCAAATATCTCAATATTCATTTTATTGTTGTCAATGCTATTTTTCAGGATTAAAGAGAAATCGGCTAACAACTCTAATTGTATGGGTAATATATGACTTCTTACAAATTATATACATCAAACTAAACTGCAGACGCATAAAACACTTTGCTCATTTCTTTTTTTTTCTTTTACATTTTTAGGATATTCCTTAATTGTAAACTTGAAGTAACTTGCAAGAGAATGTTATAATTTTGATAATAATATTGTGAATTTTTAACTGTGGGACATTTCTTTCAATTTCCTTTTGTCATTATGATAATATGGTACTTTTTAACTCGCATTTCACTTAAATGTAAGAGAAGATTTTGTAATTTTTCGAAAACACAATTTAAGCTAAATGCACACATCCTATTGTATAAATACTTTTGTTTCTTGAGGGAAAATATTTACTAAAAACTGAAAATACTCGTATTTTATCTCTCTCACTGTTTTTTTTACTCAACACTTTACTAATAGATTTCTGTATTACATTAATAGCATCAAATTCTGTTAATTTTGTATATTTTTTAGGAATATGATATTGTATTAATAGAATTTTGTATCAATTAGTTTTATATAACTTTTTATGTGATTTTTAATAAAATATAATGTTTATAAATATACACCACCGATGAAACACAGTACCATTAAAAAGAGAGTTTTTAGCACATTTACCTCTTAAATTTATCGTAATTTAACAAATTGGTCCTTAAACTTTTAATTTTGATAAATTACTCTCAAACTTGTAAATTTATTACAATATGTTTCATTTTGACGAAAATTATATTAAATTATTGTAAAAAAAAAATAGGTTCAGTTTAAGAGATAATTTACTAAATCATGATAAGTTCGGAGATAATTGTGTAAAAAACCATTAAAAAAAAAAAAAACCATTGTTAATGTCAACTTAGCTAAAAACACGCGTAACCAAACCAAGTAATATATCTTTTGTTTTTGGGTACGCAACCCAAGTAACAACGCATCACGGTTAGGTTATTATATTATCCGTGTCGTTGGGTTTACTTGTGCAGACATTTTCAAGCTTCCTTTTTGCTTTTTCTTCCTTTTTTTAATGGCAATACGTTTCTATTTTCAAATCCACACAATACGTTTTTCTTTTTTTTTTTGTTTTTGTTTTTTTTGTTTTTCTTTTCCCGTCACGTATAAAAGTAGGCACAGTTACAATTATATTTCTTCGTTTTTGGGTGATGTTCTCCTTTGTGTTATTACTAACAAACAATTCAATGATTGGATATATAAAATATAGGGTAAATTTTATGAATTCCCTTAAATTGTCTTACTTATATTATTATGTCCCGAACTTTAAAACGTACGTGTTATTTCCTCTCATATATAATGTCTTGAAATTTTCTCAACATTTTAAACTTATTATTTTTCAAACATACTAGCACATGTGATATGCATGAAGATCTTAAATTCGTCAATTTTTTTTAAAATCTTAACAAACTCAATTGAATATGGGTTATTTTCCACTTTTTCTCCTTCTATTTTATTGCCCTTGAGCAACTATTATAAGTAGAAAATACATCTAACATTTAGCGCTTAACTAATTTATTTTGGAGGGAAAAGCATTCATTAACCTTTAAGTTAGGACTAGAAATATGGGTCACGACATGACTCAAAAACGACACAAATTTTACGGGTTAGGGTTGAGAAAAAAGAGGTTCGGATCAGAATTAAGTCGACCTGAAATTGACACGAAAAACACGGGTCAATTTTGGATTGGACTAGCATAACCCAAACATGACACAAAACTCGTAAAAAACTAAAAAATACATATATTTTTCATTTCATATTTTAAATTTTATTATGAACTTGTGATATCATGATAGTTATACTCAAAATCTTATACTATTATTTGCTTAATTTCAATGGATGTTATTGTAATTTAGTGTGTTATGAATTTTAAGTTATTTCTAATATGTAAAAAACTAAATAAATGTATACAATTTTCGGGTCAATTTTGGATTCACGGGTCATTTCGGGTTATGTCGTGTCAACCCGTAAAGTGGTCGTGTCGTATTCGTGTTGTGGTTTTTAAAAAAGTTTGTGTCACGAGTCGTGTTCGGGTTGACTGCAAATTTAAAATGAAAGGATCAAAATACGACACTTGACATGAATTATCACCCCTACTTTAAGTGTTTCATCAAATTTAAATTGACAACTTTACAATTTTGTCTAAAAAATAACAACTTTCAGTGAGAAGTAATATAAAACAGGGAGCGCAACAACTATATTTTAAAGTTTGGAGATAAAGTGACATAAATGATGTAGTTTAAAATTTATCCTAAAATGTACTGCAATACGAGACTGCAGAATTGTAAATTCAGGACCCGTTCATTTCACCGATTTGAGTTTAGAATTCGAGTTTTATTACAGTTTAAAGTTCTCATAAACAGTCACATCTAACTTTTTTGCTATAATAAAAAGCTCTCACATAAAGTCACATCTCAACTCGAACTAAAAACTCGAATCAACAAACTAAACGGATACAACATCAAAATTATGTTAAAAAAAATACAACATTTAATAAAGTTAAATAAAAATTTAATATTATAATTGTATAATGTACCACTGTCGTTGAGGTAAATTACAAAATCTTACCTTAGCATTGTTAGACGGCTGAGTGGACTTGAGAAGACTCATAAAAGTAAAGAGCCTATGAGGAGTGGACATGTTTTGTTACTTCTAACCATATAGTTTGAAGTGTTCAGACCATAATTAAAGAAGATTAGTTTGATTTTCATATCAGATGACTCAAACTTATATAATTGAGCACAGTCAAACTAATAAACGAGTATAGTTTTCTATTTTGTGTGAGTATAACATAATTATGCAATTGTACAAATTGTGCTAAGTCCAGCACCTGAACCGGTCCGGTAAATATATATTTTTCCATTTTTATGTATCATCGTTCGTTTGTATGTATAACGTTCAATTTATAAAAGTGTAAAATTCAAAAATATAGTCCAACACATAAACACTTAAAGGGCCGCGCTACGCACATATAATAATGACGTTACATGAGAATACAAAAAAATATTGTATTTATCAGACTATACAAGTGTCGCAGTTAAGATTTTACCTACAATGACAATTAATTTAAATGGCGTTACACGTGATGAGTGGTTGAGTGGAGTCAAGTGGGGCTTGATGTGGAACTTCTAAATCTAAGCCTGACAAGTTGTCAAGTAGACGATTGAAGATACATGAAATTTGGATGCACATTTTACTAGTTGAATGTGTACACAAAAATGAAGATATTGATTTTTTCCCAATTTTTTTCCCTTTTTTTTTATATGTGATAAAATCATAACTAGATCTTTTCTCTATTTGATAATAATATTTTTTTCTTTTAAAACATAAACTCTTTTTGGTTGTTGTGTGGAAGGTCTCGTTTAAGGTTTAAGGAAAATAGAAATTTCGGACAAATTTGTAGCTTTTATTGCGGTTTAAATACAAAATTATGTGACTCAATGAAAATTGATGTCGAGATGAATTTTAGTGAACGTTTAGGTCATGGATTCAGAATTATTCTCATTTTACGTATATTTTTTGTAAGAGAAAAACACTATAGGTAATCATGAATTATGATTTAGAATCACGAACGAATACAGAGGTCCATGTTCTCATGAAAGATGTAGCTATATATGGAACACACTATTTTTGACCCCCCTGTTTTTGAAAAATTTTGTGGTAAGTCACGTGATTTGCCCTATCGCAAAGCATTTTTTTAATTATTTGATAAAATTGTATCAATTATCATGCCGTATAATATTTTTAATGTGGCCAC